TACATTATAATTTATAATTACCTAATTAATTACAATATTACTATATTACATTATAAACATTATTAATTTATAATATTAAATTTCCAGGTTATGAGTTATATTGGGCACAAATGAATGAGTAATCAAAATTTGTTAGGGGTATATTTGTAAACTTTTAAGGTATTTTTGTCATTTTTTAAATTAATAGGGGGTAATTGATATTTTATAGGATACCCGGGAAAAGAACCGAAACCTGCATTTTAGGTTCCGGTTCCGGATTTTTTTTTTTGGAAACCTGCACTCTGCAGCTCTGGTTTCGGTTCCCTCAGAAAATGCAGAGTACTCAGAATCGCTCACCCCTAGTAAAGAGGCACAAGTAAAAAAAAAATTCATGGGTAGGAAAATGCATGACATGTGCCCGCCCGTGCGACCCACAAAAAATGTAAGTTTTTTCATTTATTTTACTAGGTTTTACCATTACCAACGGCATCTTGAGCCCCCAGAGTCTTCTTTTTCATTCCTTGTTCTTCTGTCACCAAAACAGGGGAGACATGCAAAAGCGTAAAGAATTTTGAAGAAAAATGTCAAACAGACTATGGCTTGGACCCTCAAATCGATTACTTTCAAGTCTCATTTACTTGTTTTCTTGGTCTTTGTCTCTTCCTTATTTGTTGCACAAGCTTTGTAGTGTATTGTTATTAACTCGTTTGTTGAAAACAAGGTGTTAGAAGAAGCGAGGAAGCATAAGAAAGAGTCATCAAGATCCACAAACTCGTTGCACTTCAAGCTTCAAAAACCCATTTCAAAAGGAGAGTCCAAGGTCAAGAATACCCTCCACAACAAGGCCAAGAAATGTTGGTGGAGAAATGCTGTGTAAGGCTACTGCAATACGACGAAGTTGAGAGTGTGTGCTGAGTGAGTTAGGTTTTTACTTTTTAAATTTTCTATTTCTCAGCGCATTTTTTTTTTTTCTTTAATTTAAGTGCAAGTACCCGTGGGTATTGCCCGGCCCACCCATTTTTTTCACAGGCGAGCTGAGTACAGGTAATTTTCAGACAAGTAATTAATGGTGTTACCCATACCCGCTCGTTTGGACTAGGTACCCATTTACTCATGGGTACGGGCAACACTTGGCCAGGTCTACCAAGAGTGCCTATGTAAAGGAGGATAAACTCGGTCGAGCTCGAGTTGAGCTCGATAAAGCTCGATCAAACCACCATTTATCCGGGTTTAATCGAGCCAAGTTCCCTTTTTTTACAGCAATCTGCCTGCGTACAACATTTCATATTTACATCCAATGTTGAATTAACTATGACAGTTTCAAACATTACAAAATGTCTATTACCTTACAAAATCGAAAAACAGTTCTGAATATATACAAATAACATTCCTAGGAGATTACCGATTTCAGACTGCCTGGTTCACGATTTGGGATTTGGGGGTCTTTGATTGCGATTTGGGATTTAGGGCAACTGGGATGAGGAACTGAAATTGACGCTCTGTTTTGGTGTATCATGTTATTTCAAATTTACACTTTTTTTTTGGGGGGGGGGGGGGGGGGGGGGGGGGGGGGGGGGGGGGGGGGGGGGGGGGGGGGGGGGGGGGGGGGGGGGGGAGAATTGTCATTTTTTAAAACTTTTTTCACTGGAAAATATCAGTTTAACACCTAATAGTTTAAAAAATCACCAAAACACCTTGTGAAGTGTACAGTGCTTAATCGAGCTGGACCAAGCTCGTGAGCCCATGAGCCGAGCCAGGCTCGGGAGCCCACGAGCCGAGCTTCACTGTGTTCGAACTCGACTCGGTTAACCAACCAAGTACGAGTCGAGTCGAACCGAGCCTTATCGAACCTAGCTCTAAACGAGCTTTTATCGCAGCTCGGCTCGTTTACAGTCCTAGGAACTGGAACTGGAACCTGAAAAAAAGAACCTGTAGCCGGTACCCAGCTTGGAACCTGCTTGGAACCTACAGCAGGTACCCTATTTTGGAACCTAGGCTGAAATAAAATATGTGAAGAATGGAGGATCTATTGTAATTTTACATATAAAAAAATTAAAATGGAAAAAGTTAAATTTTTACAATAACCTAATTAAATAATTATACAATTATCCTTATTACATATAAACTACACCATATAAAAAACTTTAATATATTAATATTAAAGTATTGATTAATTAAGTGTATAATTTGAATTAAAACCAATTAAAAGTATTTTAATGTTATTAAAAAATTGTTTTTGAATAGAATAGTATATTTGATTGAATAGTAATATAATATTTAGTTATTTACTTCAATTATCAAATTCTTAGTAAATTAGTAATTAATTAATTATAAATTGATAAACATTAATACATTAGTATTTAAATGATTACTTAATCAATTATAACATCACATTATAGTTAAATAATTATTTAATTAATTATAACATTTCGTTATAATTAGTACAATACTTAATTAAATGATTAAAAATTTAATTAATTATTATATTACATTAAAGATTTATAATATGATTATTTAATTCATTACAACATTACATTATAATATGATCACATAATTAATTATAACATTACATAATTAAATGATTATTTAACTAATTATGACATTATATTATAAACATTAGTAATTTACTACATCAGTACAATACTTAATTAAATAATTAAAAATTTAATTAATTATAACATTACATTATAAATTTATAGGATGGTTACTTAATTAATTATAACATTACGTTATAAACAAATAATTACTTAATTAATTATAACATTCCATTACAAACATTAGTACAATACTTAATTAAATGATTATAAATTTAATTAATTATAATATTATATTAAAAATTTATAGCATAATTACTTAATTTATTATATCATTACATTAGCGTATAATTACATAATTAATTATAATATTATATTAAAGATTTATAACATGATTACTTAATTTATTATATCATTACATTAGAGTATGATTACATAATTAATTATAAAATTACATAATGAAATGATTATTTAATTAATTATGATATTATATTTAATTTATTATATCATTATATTAGAGTATGATTATATAATTAATTATAACATTACATAATGAAATGATTATTTAATTAATTATGATATTATATTATAAACATTAGTACAATACCTAATTAAATGATTAGAAATTTAATTAATTATAGCATTACATTATAAATTTGTAGTATGATTACTTAATTAATTATAACATTATATTATAAACAACAGTACAATACTTAATTAAATGATTAAAAATTTAATTAATTATAACTAAATAATTGCTTAATTAATAATAACATTATATTATATTATAATCGCTTAATTAATTATAACATTAAATAGTTAAATGATTACTTAATTAATTATAAATTTATAACATTATATTATAAACATTAGTAATTTACCATATTAGTACATTACTTAATTAAACGATTAAAAATTTAATTAATTATAGCATTAAATTATAGCATTTATAGTATGATTATTTAATTAATTATAATATTCCATTATAAACATTAGTATAATACTTGATTAAATGATTAGAAATTTAATTAATTATAATATTAAATTATCGATTAATAGTATTATTGTTTAATTAATTAAATTAATTATTTGTATTTTGGTTCTAATTGAGGAATTTTATATGAATTGTGAATTCAAACGTTGCCTAAAGATTAGGGGATTTATGAGTCACATTGGACACAAATGAATGAGTAATCAAAATTTGTTAGGGGTGTATTTGTAAACTTTTAAGGTATTTTTGTCATTTTTTAAACTAATAGGGAGGTAATGATTTTTTACAGGATACCCGGGAAAGGAACCGAAATCTGCATTTTAGGTTCCAGTTCCTTGACTTTAAGAACCTGCACTATGCAGTTCTGATTCCGGTTCCTTTTTTTGGGAACTTGCACTATACGATTCCGATTCCGACTCCAGTTCTCCTAAAAAATACAGGATACTCGGAACTACTCACCCCTAAACTGAACATTGAAAAAATAAATAAAATACAACCATTTCTTAAAGAACTCATGCTGGACACCAATCATAAATGATTGCCCTCACTCAGGACACACAAAAACACCCGACAATAAATTGTCGACTGCCACATGATTATCAAACAATAAAAACTTGGTCCTCATTTCAATTTTGTTTTTTTTTTTTTTTTCTTTCAGTTTTTATAGGTGACAAAAGATCATTATAAACAAATTACAAAACTTATATGGAGTATCCCATAATCTAAATCATCCATGATTCAAACTTTCACATACAAACAGATTTAAAGATCTGTCATTATCATGCCTTCCCTCATATCATACATTGCCCCATGCACTGGTTGCTACGTGCACAATTATGTTCTTCGTTTGGGTAGAAAAACAACAACTGGAAGCTAGAAATATACACTGGGAAAACACAACCCCTTTGATAGTAGATTGACCAAGCTTGGAAAAAGTTTAAAGCTATTTTCATTCTGATACTTCTCTTTCTATGAAAGTAATTGGCATCAAAATTCTCACAACTCCTTTCATAAAAAAAATAGAACAGAACGAGCAAACACCGAAATATACATATACCCAGTTTTGCTAGCTAAAATCTCAATATTAAATCACCAATTCACAAGTTCAAACTAGTAAAAGGACTGAATCATTTTCACAAGCCATCCCCACAGCTCACAAATGGCTTCAAGAATGCATTCTCGCAGGCCAAAACTTAGCCATTCTAATTATTGCAAATTGTTTCATTCTATTGCATAAACTTAACATTCATCTATAAACAAGAGCAGAACAGATGTAGAAGAAGATATATATTGTTGCTTTCAAATTTGAGAAGAAATGAAATAAATGAAATTGAATCAAGGAACAAAAAGTTGTTTTTTTTTTTTTTTTTTTTTTTTTTTTAAAGTACAAGAAAAATACAAGAAAGACTAACCAAATTTTGACTTGAGGAACAGTTGAATCGGATGTTTTCTTGTTAAGCCTGAGATGCTCTGAAATATGGAAAGATTATAATGGTATTTTTAAAATTTGAGAAATCAGGATATACGATTTTAGGTGAATATGTTCATGATTGCAAGTTGAAAGCGAAATAAGAAATAATCTCCATTGTTCTCTATTAGAGGATACAAAAGGAAAATGTTGAAAACAAAAGAAAGTTGTTCTCACCTTTCTTTTGTAAAATGTAAAAGAAAATTGATTATTTTTCTATTTTACAGGAAAAAAAATTGAAAACAATAACCAAACATATATGTCATGAACTCCCAGGACTAAATTTTGGCAAAAGAAGGAAAATGAAAACAAAACCAAACAAGACCTACTATCTATTAAAATAAACAACTTAAGAATTACATTCAGACATTACAAAAGGAAAAATAAGCATGGTGTAAAACTTATAAAATCAAGACGCATTCAATTTTTATTCAAATTCAGACCCATTCAATTTTCAAAAATAAATACCACGTTAGGGATGTAAATACCCCAGGCCTGGGCCGGACACACCTGGCCTTGAGGCCCAGGTTTGGTTACGATGAACAGGGTTTTTTTTGAAATTTTACTTTATAGGTGGGTTCTGGATGTAACTTTTAGGGGGTTATTAAAACTTTTACAATAAAAAAGGCAGCTGAATGTTATTTTTGGGGGGTTTTTAGAAACTTTTTAGGGGGTTTTTGTCATTTTGCATAGGGCTATATAAGTTTTACAAATCTTATATAATGTACCTGGCCCAGGCTTACTGCTAAACCCGATCCCGGGCCAGCAGATTATATATACCCAGGCTGGGCCAAATACAAGCCCGGCCAGGCCAGCCGGATTTTTTTCACATCCCTATACAACGTTAGCTAAGTGCTCAGAATTTTATTTAATTAAAAGCCACCAATTCAACTGGTTGTGAGGTTGGGAAAATCCAAATTTACACCAAAATTTTTATAGGTAGTTCAAACTATTGGATGAGGGCTTCTGGAATTATATTATAATCTTAAAATGAAAAAATTCTATGACAATATACAAATGTTTTTCTATAAATATTTGTAACCTCATTATTCATAACTTAGGTGGGGTTTGTGACAGTAACGATCATACCTATCCAGAAAGTCAACACACATGCACACATCAAGAAGGGGGCTTTTTATCATATCCCACAAGCTCCCAAATATCTCAGGCAAAGCAAACTTGTGACATCATACAAGGCGAAATGTTCATTATAATGCAAAGCTTAACTCTACCTGTTCTACTAGGCAGAGAACAACTGACCAATCAAGAGGAGTGTGTATGCCACACGTCATGACGTTGTATACTCTAATTGGTCAGTCACACATAGGACAAGCATATTGAAGACGTTATTCTGATAATAATATTTCATCACGCTTGATTAATTACACGGAAAGAAACTTTGAATTGTGGTTGGGTAAGAGTTTCAATTTTTGTGAAGGGACACTATTATCATCTTGACAAAAGGCTTTATAAATTAAATATAACATTATCCATACCAATATTTACCAAAAAGAAAATATCAACATAGTAATGCTATCTAGACATTACTTTTACCCGAACTTAATACACAAAATATCAATTGACTTAATTCATGAACTTTTCAGAGAAACAGCAAAAGCACATTAATTCATCATTATGCAAAATCCATTGCTTAATACTCAATAAATGAAACAAAAATCATAGAACTCAAATAACAAAATGGAACATATATGAAACGAGTAACTTACCACTTTATATGTTGCAGTGTAACCAGACATACAAAGTTGTAATGCTCCGAAAGGAAGTAAAGCAAGTAACTGGGATCTATAAAGAAGCAACATTTTGCTTCTTGCGTGGTAGTTTCTCTTCCTCATCATCTGATTTCCCACATGGCAATTTCTCCCAGATTGCAACTTTCAAAGATTTCCTAGTCTCTGGAGAATACACCAAAGAGACCCCGCACTTTATCACCTTGCAACAATCTATGCGTTTATTATTTAAATCCTCAACATAAAATTGTATATACACCTCACTATAGGAAGGATAATCCCATTTATTAATATTTGAAGAAAGCATATTGGAATCATATCCCAAAAATATGTGATCTGAGTCAATGTAATGGGATCCAATATCATAGTACCAACCCTTCAAAGTGCCACGGTAAAGGATCGTCATGTCATTTTTACTTCTGAGCTTGCAATCATAGTGAACAACCAAACCATGGCCTTCGTCATAATAGTTTCGAAACTCTACAACAACACATATGATGAAACTAACAAAGTCAGGATTGAACCAACCTGATGGCAGCTGGATATTTATAGAAGACCCCAAACTTATATAGTTAAACCACTGTGGGATTTCAGTTCCAGGGAAACAGATACAAACACTAGGTCTTGAGTAGAGTTCCTGTACGAAAAGAAAAATCATTCACTTTAACATCAAACTTATTTTCAAAGAAATCAAATCATGTTAAATGGGCAAGAGTAAAGAGACATAATACTCTTTCAAGCTTACCATTGTCATATGCGGTATTTTCTGTATAGCATCTTCAACAATATTTTTTACAGCACTTTGATCTAGTTTGAAACAATTGCTAAAGTTAACTCTCACTGGTCTTTGATTAGTAGCTGGGAGAACTGATAAACCCGATTCCAATGCCGAGCAACCTGGTGCATCAAGAGATTCTAAACTACAAGGAAGCTCTGGTAAGGATTTAAGTAGCTCGCAATAGCCTAACTCAAGATAAGATAACTTAGAAAGGTGATTGATGCTTGTTGGAATGCTCTCGAAATTATTCCCACCTAGAAGTAAAATACTAAGTGAGGATAACTGGCTCAAAAGATTGGGTAACTCCATGAGACAACAATTAGCAAGATTTAGTTCCGTCAAATAACGCAAATTTACAACGGATGATGGTATTTCTTTTATAGCAAGTGTCTTTGCTTCAAGCACTTTCAAAGCTTCTAAATCTCCTACATAGTTGGGCAATCTATCAAGTTCTGCACATCCTGATACATTAAGATGTTCAAGAGACTTCAGCTTAGAAATACTGCTTGGAAGACTCTTAAGACTTTTGCAATGCCTAAGATTCAAGATAGCAAGCTTATTGAGATGCCCAATAGATGAGGAAATTTCAAACAAACTTGTGCACCCTTCTAGAATCAAGTTCTCCAACTTTGGTGCAAATGAGAGATTTGGAATTTGGATTAGATGCTTGGAGTGGCTGAGTTTCATATCCCTTAAGTTATCAAAATGCTGTTAAAAAAATTAAAAAAAAGAGTAATGGAAATAAATTAATTAGCAATTTGATCTTCATAATTAAAACAGAGAATACCATGTAAAACATCATTAGCACTTTGATCTTTATAATTAAAACAGAAGAGTACCATGTAAAATATTAACATATACCTGCACAACAGTCCAAAGTTGTTCAACATTGCTATAAGACATGTCAAGTGCGACAAGATTCTCTGGACGAAATTTTGACTGCAATGACTTCAATGGGCATCCATGCCAATAAAGGTACCTTAAGTTAGAGAAAACAGATTCAAGGCCTTGGGGAACATGCACCTTGCTGATATTGTCCTCTTCAGAGTGTGAGTTATATAATTTCAGGAATCTCAGTTTACGCATTTTGGAGAAAGCATGATGATTTAAATGTATATCTCTTACTTTAGACATGTCCAAGCATATGCCTTCAATTGCTTTACTCCCCTAATAATCAAGAAAAGACGATAAGTTAGCAACACAAATTTAAACAATTAAGTGGTAAAGGTGTCAAATAATTTATTCTTTTCAACTTTTCTTTCATTATAATAAAATATAAGGCATGCAACTAAACCTACCCAAGCCCTTCATTGCAAACTGATGTATTACTAGAACTGACATAAACAAAACAAAAATGGGAAGTTCATGCCTTCAACTCTTACCGTATTTTTTTTCAATACATTAGATATATCCACATGATGCCACAAACGACTGCGTTTGCCAGGATCTATTGAGGATTCTCTCCGGATAATTTCTTGACCCATTTCTTGAAGCAAATCATGCATTGTTACCTTGTTGTTTGATACCATTACAAGACACTTATCAATGAGAACACTGATTCCAATTTCTGCAAAGAAGCCACTTGCATTCAAGAACTTTATTACAAAATCTCTATTCTCCCATTTAAGGAAACATGCAATATCCAAGAATATATTCTTCTCATCATTATCTAGTCCATCATAACTTATTTTTATCACCTCATAGACATCATAACAAGAAGTTCTCTCGAGTGTATTTATTGCACTTAACCATACTGTATTTCTCTTGCCACGTAGAAAGGAACCCAACACTTTAAGACCTAATGGTATGCCTTTAGCATATTTTACAACCATATTCGACAGGTCATTATAAAGAAAAGTTGGATGACTCTGTTGAAAGGCATACCAACTAAAAAGGCAAAGAGCTTCATGATGAGATAATGCCTTAAGCTCGTATATATTTTCCACTCCATAATTTGTAAGCAATTGTTTATCCCTTGTTGTTATAATAATTCGACTACCTAGACCCAAGCAATTAAGATCTCCAACTAAAATTTTTATTTGTTCAAAAGATGTCAGATCATCAAAAACAATGAGAACCTTTCTATGGGAAAGCTTTTGTTTTATAAATGTGAATCCTATGTTGGAATGTTTCTCCTTTAATATTTCAGAGAAAAGTTCTTGTCGCAAGGGAGTTAACCCGTTAGGACTCTCTGATTCTTCCCTAACATTAAGAGCAAAGTAAGAATCGTCAAATTGATCCAAAACTTCATCAAATACAGCTTTGGCAAGAGTTGTCTTGCCTATACCACTTCTTCCCCAAATTCCTACAATGCAAATATCTTTCGACCAAATACTTAGCAGAGATTTCATTCTTTTTATGCTTGGTTTCACTCCAATCACATCCTTGTCATCACTCGAGCACATATCATTCAATTTCTTCAAAGAAAATTCAACAATTTCCGCTATAGCTTTAGATTCATCCCTAAAAATGTTGAAAACAAACAATATCAAAATATAAAATAAATCAAAAAGAGACAAACGTAATTTTAATTCGAATTGGTGATTTCAATTAAGATTATACTTATTAACAATGTGGTATGTAAGAAATTTAATTTCACAAAATGGGGAATACGAACTATAGAAACGAAAAGTATATGAAAGAATAAATAGCAAAAAAATAAATAAATAATTTAAAAGAATTAATTGTAAGTTAGCTTTTACCTATCCTTTACATCAAAGCCAGCTAGATTCCCCACTTCCCGCAAAGCATTCCGCCAATTCTTCTTCTTATGCTTATCAAATCCATCCCCAAATTTCCCAGATAGGTTCCTCACATCTGATGGATCTACATAACAGTAAACTGGCACCACAATCTGACCGTACATGTTCTTGCATTCAATAATCTCTACAAGTTCCTCAAGACACCATGCGGAAGATACATAGCCTTCTGAGAATACAACAAAAGAAATTTTCGATTCTTTAATTTCATTGAAAAGAGGTTGCGAATATTCATCTCCTCTCTCAATTTGGTAATCACAGAAAGTTTCAATGTGACTGCGACACAAAGCTTCATAAAGATGACTGATAAATTTTTTATGGGTATCGACGCCCGTAAAACTTAGGTAAACATCATACTTCCCTGATGCACGAGAAGAAGAAGGACAATCAGAAGCCGCCATGAAGTTCATTCCCATAAAAGACTTCAATAATCAAAGAAGTCATCAACTCGAAAAGTCGTCAGGTTGAGAGATTCTTCAGATCGAGCTTCAAAGACTCTTCAAATAATCGAAGACGTTGTCAAGTGGAAAGATTCTTTTCGGATCGAGTCTCGGATCTTCAGATCAAGTCTTCGAGCTTCACATTTTTACCCTTACAAGCAAGACAATATATAGACAAGTTTCTTGAAGCTTAACTACATTTTGTATTTTCCTGTGGACCATTACCATATATTATATAATATAAAATTAAATTAAATTAAAAATATATAATTGATTATCTAATTAATAAATTAAAAATACAGCCGAGCAAGTCAACCGTTTGTCATAGACAAGAGGGTTGTTATACCCACCCCAGGGAGATAAAAACAAGTCTTCGATGGCCCATGGGCCATGGTTTCTTAAAATAGGGAATTTTTTTGTCCTTTTTAGGCTGCGTACAGTTAGAAGTTTGCATTTGGTTCGAGATAATACAAGATTAATCATAAAATCTTTACTTAATTTTTAAAATTCTCTTATTTAGTTATCAAATAATAAAATATTACATAATCTTTTATTAAATTAAAATTCTCTTATTTAGTTATCAAATAATAAAATATTACATAATCTTTTATTATAAATAGTATTTACAGTTAATAATATTGAAAATAACTAGATTACTTTTTTAGGGGTGTTAATTGAAATTATCAAGGTTATCTTAATTTTGACCCTATTTTGCTCATAATCTTTTATCATTTTTGACACATTTACACTCATAAATCTACTAAATAACAATTACTCAAACCTCTTACATTTGAGAATTTAACTAAAACATCACAGGCACAAACAAGTTTAAAATTTGACAAAATAACCCAATCACCCAAGACCACCACAACCCACTAGCCACCACCATTAGCCGCCGACGAAAGTCATCATATCGGCGCAAGATCGATAAGATCTTCCTAGTCGTGTGCCAGTAAGGATGTTTCCGACCATAGATTTGTGATCCATGGCTAGAAACGTCCAGATTTGGCTATTTCATGGCCAAAGATGTGGCCATGAAATGTCATAGATCTTGCTGTGAAAAGGCCAGATCTTTGGCTGTGAAATGGCTGCCGTTTCACGGCCAAAGATCTAGCCTTTTCACGGTCACATCTTTGGCCGAGAAACGGCGATATTCACGGCCATATCTAGTCATTTTTTATCCATGATGCATGGTTGGAATAGACCCTACTGACGTACGACCAACCAGATCTAGCCAATTGTGTGCCATTACAGGGGTTGTTGGGAGTGGCTTAGGGCGGGTGGGGGTGATTTTGCTACAAATTAAAGTTTTATATAGTTGGGGTGTTTTAGCAAAATTTCAAATATAGAGGGTTAAAAGAAATAATATAAAAAATAATATAATAAAATAATAATTATTATTATTATTTAAAAAGGAGGGCAATTTAGTAATCTATATAACATACCCACTTATTTATCCTCTAAACCGAATATATTATTATAACATACCCACCAATTTATTTCAACCAATCAAACACATTTCTCTAAATATTCCTTAATAATCTATCTTTCCAGTAACACAACATTCCCTGAATCAAACGCACCCTAATAGTCTATCTTTCAATTCGGTATATTTTGTCATTATAGACACCGAGGATGGTATTTTAATATTATTTTTTTAATCCTATTTTTGTTCCAATTTTACTCTTAATAAAAATTCAATCCCCCTTTTTGATGTCAATAATAATTAATTCAACATTTCAACTTGTTGAATGACTTTCTTTAACATCGTTAATTAATTATTTGGACAAAAATTAATTATATATATATATATATATATATATATATATATATATCTAAATATTTTGTAATTGTTGCCAACCAAACACCCCACATGAATCAAACATAGTAATAATTTATACCTAGTAATCTTTAGGGGTTATTTAGATTAGGGGTATATAAGATAACTAGGATAATCTTCGTTTATTTTGTAAGATTCTTGTGTTTGGTTTGCAAGTAATAAAATATTATGGTAATCTTTTATTACAAATAGTGTTTACTGTTGGTAATGTGGGAGGTAATCTTGTTACCTTGTTAGAGGGTGTTATTAAACATTGTCGAGGTAATCTGAATTTTCTACCCATTTTGCCCTTAACTAAAAACCATTTTAGACACAATTGATCTCAAATGTCTACCAAATAACAATTTACCTAGCCCTTTATATTTGAGAAATTAGCTAAAATACCCCAACCATAAAAAAATTTAAAAGTTAACAAAATATCCCCAACCACCCAAGACCACTACCGACATCAATTGTCGCAATGGTACACGACTAGTGGGATCTGGTTGGTTGTGCTCCCGTACCTGAAATGGCCAGATCTATGGCTGTTTGACGGTAAAGATATGGCCGCGAATAGCTACAGATCTAACCTTTTCACGATCAAATTTGTGCACATTTTTCGGCCACATCTTTGGCTGTGAAATGGCCATAAATCTGGCCATTTTCTAGCCATGGATTTGGGATCCATGGCCATTTCCAACTTTGTCGATGCACGGCCGGCCATACACGGCCAGTCGTGTGCCATTTCATTGACTGTCGACGGCAGCCAGCAGTGGTGACTAGCTGCCAACAATGGCTTTGCGTAGGTGGAGGTAATTTTGCTACAAATTAAAATTCTATATGGTTGGGGTGTTTTAGCAAAATTTCAAATGTAGGGAGTTAAAAAATGATTCAAATAATAATAATAAAAAATACTATTATATTAGTAGGCAATTTAATAATCTATATAATATACCCACCCATTTATCCTCCTAACCAAAATATATTATTCACCAATTTATTTGAATCAGCCAAACACATTTTTTAAGCATTCCTAGTAATCTTCAAGGTGATCTTTCTTTCCGTTAAATATAATATGTTCTTATAATAAAACATTATATGAATCAAACGCCCCTTTAAGGTTATCAATCTCAGTGGTATTCCTATATTTTTTTAATAAAATATTGTCCAAACGAAATGTCTCTATATATACACACACACCCCACACGAACCAAACACAATAATAATTTATACCCATTTATCTTTACAATTATCTATCTCAGTGGTATTCTTATATTTTTGTTAATAAAACGTTGTTGGAACCAAGTGTTCCCAAGGGCAACTAATGATTTAGGGAGGTACATAATATATTTGCAAAATCTTGAAGGGGTTTAAAACTTCCTTATCTCATTGTTGGTTAATTAAAAAAACCCCAGATAAGAACATTAAAGCACGTCAAATAATACTTCTAATGAACAAATGATTGACAACAGTTGATCTAGGGTTTTTTTTTCATGTTGTTTTGTAACTACAGAAAATACCAAAAACACCCATTAAGCTTGTGCCTAAAGCAATACGCCTATAACTGTAACATTATTCCGGAAAACAAGAAACTTCAAGCACTTTTTTCAGTTTCTGAATTTATTATATTATTAAAATTTTCATTTCAAGCAACCATGTACGTGCACTTGTCCTTTGTGTTATTTGTCTTTTTTTGAACTCAATAATACAAGCTCTATTCCAGGGCCTCTAATTGTTTTCCTTTGCAGAAATCCCACGTTTAGTCAGAACAATGCGTGTTAAAATTAAAGATTATTCAAAAAGTGAAATCACACTCATTAATTTGCATGTTATGAAATATGAAACAGTATAAGAACACATGTGCACATGCATATGGTTGAAAAGTATAATAACGTCTTCATTTGCATGTAAAATATGAAAATTACAATAAATATCATGGTAAGTTAGTATCGTATATAAAAGCTTAAACTCGTAAACGAGGGTTCAATCAATATTAGACTAATATGCCTACTTACATTAAACTTGAATTTTTTTCTTTTTTTTTCTAATTTATATGTGGAGATTCTAACTTGAGACCTTTAGTTTTAATACTATGTTTTTTTGAAAAATTCGATGTTTCAATTCACTGATTACTACTACAAAGTTATAGACATTATTTAGGGAGAATACTATCTATTGAATTTTCTAATTATGTGATCAGTTACATATTACACAATATACTGATATAATTAAAAAACTACAGAATACCAAGAGCATCTCAAGACTAACAAAAATGGGAGATTACAAAGTAAATCTCAACATATATAACTCACATGTTCGTAAATAAAAAATATTCACATGCTTGTGCATAAAAAAGAGCAAGTAATCTAATCTTCCAATGAAGGATTTTATTTGACAAGCAACGATAGACAGACTATTCAACAACATGCTATGTGTGTAAATGTTGAAAATGGACAACACGATACCTTTCTGAATTTCCTGTTGTGGCGACCTGCCTTTAAGCCTATAAAAACTCCATGCAATACGCCATTTCAACTCCATCACTAACCTTCAAACTCTCCTCAATTTCTCTATTCTTTTCTTCAGTCTCCTTATAATCATCAAGAAGAAATTAATGGCAAAACCTATGAGTTCTCTCATTCTTTTACTTATTTCAATCCTCTTCGTTACTTCATCTTTAGCAAGTCCTGTGACCTACGATGTGGTCAGTTTAGGAGCCAAAGCCGATGGCAAAACTGACTCAACACAAGCTTTTTTAGCTGCATGGACTAAATCCTGTGGCTCGACTGAGGCCGCCACCATTTACGTGCCACAGGGGAGGTTCTTGCTGGGCAAAGTTAAGTTTAAAGGCGAATGCAAGAACAATGAAATTACCCTACGTATTGATGGCACTCTTGTGTCTCCATCAGATTATAACGTTATTGGAAATGCTGACAACTGGATTCTTTTCGAACATGTTAATGGCGTTTCTATTAATGGTGGCACTCTTGATGGCCAAGGTACTGGCTTGTGGACTTGTAAGAAGACAGGGAAAAGTTGCCCCAGTGGTGCCACGGTAAGTTTAAGGATTGATGTTTATGTACTAAAGTATCTTCCATTTTGGGTAAAATTATTATCTTAACAAGCTTCCATTCTTGGGTTTAATGTGCAGACGCTGGAGTTCAGCAACTCGAACAATATTGTGATAAATGGATTGACATCGTTGAATAGCCAAATGTTTCATATTGTTATCAATGGATGCAACAATGTGAAAGCCCAAGGGGTTAAGGTTTCAGCCTCAGGCAACAGTCCTAACACCGATGGAATTCATGTGCAATCATCGAGCGGTGTTACAATCTTGAACTCCAGGATTGGGACTGGTGATGATTGTGTTTCAATTGGCCCTGGTACTACCAATTTATGGATTGAGAATGTTGCTTGTGGTCCTGGCCATGGGATCAGGTAAAAATTTGAAAAACAAGACAATCAGATATGGTTATTTCTAATTAATTGTAGTATTGTCAGTTTGTGATGTTACGCTATTGTTGCAGCGTTGGTAGTCTTGGCAAGGAACAAGAAGAGGCTGGAGTGCAAAATGTGACCGTAAAAACTGTAACATTTACAGGTACTGCAAATGGAGTGAGGATAAAATCTTGGGGGAGACCTAGCAGTGGTTTTGCTAGAAACATTCTTTTTCAACGTGCCATCATGAACAATGTCCAGAATCCTATTGTTATTGATCAAAATTACTACCCTGACGAAGAAAACTGCCCTGGACAGGTAACATCACCACAAGTTTATACATGGATAACTCATTTCATATAACTGTTCCTATATATTTTAAGACTCGACGTAACGAAAATTCATCCTTCACAATACAATATTTTCAATGTCTTCGGTTTACTTGAATTATATATGTAACAGGCTTCGGGGGTTAAAATAAGTGACGTGACATACCAAGATATTCATGGAACATCTGCGACCGAAGTTGGTGTTAAGTTTGATTGCAGTTCGGAGAATCCATGTTCTGGCATAACCTTGGACGACGTAAAGCTCACTTATCAGAATAAACCAGCTGAAGCTTCATGCCGCCATGCTGATGGATCTGCTTCCGCTTTCGTTCAGCCCAATAGCTGTTTGGTGTAGTGAAAAATACATGAAGTCGTTTGCATTATAAGAATATGCTATAGATGGCGAAAATCGTTATTGTGTCTTTTTATTGTATATTGCCACAAGACGTTGTTGTACGTTTTACAATATTAATTATTATATATTCAAGCTATTACTCTTCGATAGTTGCCCCAGAAGAATATTAACTATAAGGCATACACATGACAATACGAGGCCAAAGAGATTTGAAACAACATAATAAACTTTTATTTTTCTGAAAAATCCATCAAATCTTTTTCTAATAGTAAAGAAACAACCGAAAATGGAAACTGAAGATCACTAAATAAGATTGAATCGCTATAAATTTTTTTAGCTGCAATATAATCTTATTTGCCAATCCATATGCTTCCATCTCTATTTTTGAGAAATCATATTATAAATATTCTTCTATTTGGTAGGGATTATGGTTATGGAGAACGGGGTAGATGAGTTTTAAGGGTTGAAAAATGAGTTTTGATTAAGGGTTTAAGGCTGTGAATGAGGGCATTTTCGTCCTTTAAAATTGCGTTGAATGAGAAAGTGCTATTTTGTGAGATACTTTTCCAAAAGAGTAATACTACACTTACAAAGAAATTTTACAAAGATCTTCATACAAAGTGATGTGACAAAAAATGAATGGAAGAGTGAATTTAATGAGTTTGACTTTTTGTTTCACTCTTCCATTCATTTTTTACTACTTCGCTTTGTATGAAAATTTTTGTAAGATTTCTTTGTAAAGATAATATTATTATTTCCAAAATGGCTAGTTCTCGATTCTCAACCTAAAATAGGGCCAAATAATATTATATAATTTCTCTCTATGTTTTCAGGAAGCTTTTGTACCATTTAGCTGAGTCTTGGGGGATACGCCGATACGGGTTATACTGCAACGTTTTGAGGAAGCTTTTGTAACATTTGCATTTCAATCTATTAGGCCCCTCACGTAAACTCTGAAATTTATTTTTTATCCGATTGAATGTGAAGATTCAAATATGTAACCTTTAACTCTAATACCATATTAAATTGTTAATCCACGTGAAAGCTTTAAGTTAGAAAGTAATAACCTACCAATTATGTTGCGTCAATAGCCAAAGTTGTGTCAAACTTTTTATTATCATGATCTAGTCAGCAAGTACAAAAGTATATAACAGTTGTGGCTTATTCAATCCTTTAGGTTTATAGGGTATTCAATAAACTTTAAGGATTATTTTAAATATACGCACAAACTAGTTTGGATATCCCAATTGCTAAAAGAAAAAAAATATTACATAACAGTTGTCCGAATTTAATTCGCTATAGCTTAAAATGCATGTAGCAGGCCACATCGTTATATAGTTATCTCCATCATGCCATGTCCTAGCTAGTTATAGAAAAAGACAAAAACCATCAAAGCTGCCAAAACTCCACACCATAGCTGTTAGTATCCTACGATACCCGATACGTATCATATGATACGATTCGATACAGGTCACTAACGATACGTATCAGAGAGTGTATCCTAAACCATTCGATACGTTGATATGTATCCTACGATACGATACGTATCCGTTCGTATCCTTAAAAATATCGATATAAATCGATACGACTTTATTAATTTGGGCCAAAGATACAAAAAAAATTTCGGGTCGAAGCCGGGTCACCCAACCTAATTCACTAAAACCTGTCCAAATTTACTTATTTTGCATGAAGAAAGTGAAGAGGAATATGTATTGCCCATTTTACATGATAATAATAATATAAGTAGAGATATAGAGATTGACATTGATCTTGGAATTTTGTGATTAATTTTGATTACGTAATACCGTAATTTAAAGTTAATAATACCACAAAATTCTTTAATTAATCTTTGAGATTATATTAATTTTTAGAAAATTTTGATTATTTTATTAATTTTTTTAAAAAGGCGTATCTTACGATACGATACGATACGTGATACACGATTCAAAAATTAGGTTTTCGATACACGATACGATACAAGATTTGATAACCATGCTTCACACATTTTAGACTTTAATATTTTTAACTTAATTTATTTTTCCTCTTTCTTATACTGAGCTAAATTCAACTGCATGGAGCTCATCCTGTTGTGTTAAATTGTCATCTAACATGAACAAACAAAATTTTCTTTTGTGATCCACACCATATCCCTTTGAATAAAGTATTACAATCTCACATTCCAATATAAAGAATAAAACAATTAAAGAAATATATTTCAATGAAATATGTATGTGCACTCGTCCTTTGTGTTATTTGTCTTTCCATGAATTGTTATAAGAAGTATTTAAAATGTTTCCATGATTTTGAAATGTTTATTTATTTATTAATTGATAGGTTTCTCATCATCAAAAATGTTTTTTAATAATTAAAATATTATTTGATTAGGTCAAACAGTAATACCATGTCTTGACCAAGTCAAACAGACTATAATAAACATCGATAAAAATGTTTTTAATAATGAAAATGTATTAAGTTAGTTTAATTGTCATTATTAGTAACTTTTATTTGCACCTAAATGTTAAAGATTATTCATATTCATTTGAATGACATATGTCCACATGCCTATGGTTGAAAAGTATACATCCTTATTCAAAAAGGTAATCAAGATAGACAACATTTTCATCTGCATGTAAAATATGTAATCTTCCAATTGCTAATTTGGATAATGAAATTTTAGTTGACAAGCAAGATAGATTATAATGTTATTGAAAATTCTGGAGATAAAACCCCAAGGGATTGGCCTAATGGTCAAGAATGTTTGCTTCCGTCATAAACTTTTTAGGTTTAAACTATTTTAAGGTCACTTACTACATCTGTGGTTTACCTTGGAACATTAGGCTTATAAGATATTCAATGAATATCAGAGATTAATTGAGATGCATTCAAACTAGCCCGAACACTTTGATCATGAAAAAAAAAAAAAAAAAGTAATACTCTTAATATTATAAATTTAAACCTCAAGAGGTTGGCTTGGCAGTAAAGAGGATTTGCTCCCTTCTTTGAGTTCCTGTGTTCAAACCTTGGAACTACTTACCACAATAGCAATATGGATTACCTGATCCTTTGGGCTTGTATAGTGTTTAATAGATTTTTAAGATTAGTTGAGGAGTATAATAAGTTGGACTAGACACCCTGACTACCAAAAAAAAATTCTGGAAATTAGCTTCTCTTTGAGCATGTTAATGACATTTCTATTAACATGCAATAATATTGTGATAAATGGATTACCCTCATTAAATAGTTAGATGTTCCATATTGTTATCAATGAATGCAAGTATGCTACAATATGAAAGCGCAAAGGGTTAAGGTTTCAGCCTCAGGTAACAGTCATAACACCAATCAAATTCATGTGCAATCATCCAGTACAATCTTGAACTTTAAAATTGGAACTGCTGATGATTGTGTATCAATTGGTCCCAAAAGTGGGGAGAGTGTGGGATCACACATCACTTGCTTGTGAAAGTGTGAAGTGCCATATAAGTGAAGGTTCCTTACCCACCTGCGAGGCACCTTTTGTAGTATATGGGCTGCAAGAGGACAAAACTGTGAGGCTTGTGAGCTCCGATGTGCCGGGCCAAAGCGGACTATACCTTGCAGGAGGTGAGGCATTACAATTATCCCAAACCTCAAGAAATTCTTTTAATATTCCCTCATCAAGAATAAGATATTCTCTCAACGGGTCTTAAGGTTTCAGCCCTCAGGCAACAGTTCATAACACCAATCGAATTCATGTGCAACATTCAGCGTACAATCTTGAACTTTAAATTGGACCTGAGGTTGTGTATCAATTGGTCCCAAAAGTGGGGAGAGTGTGGGATCACACATCACTTGCTTGTGAAAGTTGTAAGTGCCATATAAGGAAGGTTCCTTACCCCCTGCGAGGCACCTTTTGTAGTATTGGCTGCAAGAGGACAAAACTGTGAGGCTTTGAGCTCCGATGTGCCGGGCCAAAGCGGACAAACCTTGCAGGAGGTGAGGCATTACATATCCCAAACCTCAAGAAATTCTTAATATTCCCTCATCAAGAATAGATATTCCTTCAGATTTCACTCAAGATCTATAAAAGAATAACATATTAAAAGCAATGCATTGAAACCAAACATATAGAAACAAAATATATGTACAGATCATTGAACCAAACACGTAGAAACAAATGAGATCTGAGAATCGTATTGTAGATGTAATCTTTTAATTTACCTTTTGAGTTAGATTTCTTCCTCTTCCTCTTCAATCCTTGGGAATTTGATTCCTCTTCCTCCTCTCGAATAATATATTTTCTTTATATATGTTAATGTTGCCAAAAAGGAAACAAAATTCAGCTCATTAGGATTTTAAATAAGAACATAAACAACAAATAGCATTATTATAGCACTTTTGTCATCGTTGTTTTTTTTTTTTTTTTTTTTTTTCTTTGCTTAATTATTAATTTAATTCATTGTAAAGTGACAACTGTTTATCAACGAAACTTTTATATTTTTAAAAATACAATGGGACTCAGTGGTGACCACCCGAATTTTGCTTAAACCTAGACCAAATGCTCTCAATTGTAATAAATCCAATCTCAATGAAAAATACAAATTATAAAACAAAAAAATAATACAACACTTACAAACTTTTTATACAAACTCTCATGCAAACTGAAGTAACAACTTTGCATGGTTGTCATGGAATTTCTTTAATTATTTATTTATTTTTAATTTAAAATCACATATTATTCTTTTGCACATCAGTTTATATGAAAAAATTGTAAATACAGTATTACTCAAAACAAAAAATTAAAAAGACGGGCCTCATATAACATTTTCCTTTTAACTTTTAACCAAATTCTCTCTCTCACATCTCTTCTTCTATTTGTCTCTCCCCATTTTCATATGGTTTATCTCTCTACATCATTTGTATCTAGTTCTATCACCCAAAAAAAAAAAATTCATTTCTACCTTTCACTTAGACTTGTTTTATTACTTTATAGCTGGAGTGAAGAAAAAAAAAAAATATATATATATTATAGATGATAGATAGATAGATATAGATAGCTAAAAGGAGACATTACTTTAGTTTCACAATGAAAGATAAACAAAAACATAATAAAAATTCTGATATTTCAATTTATTTATTTAAAAAAATGCATTTTTAACCAATTTAATTATTTTTTGTTCAATTAGTAGTCTTAATGTAAGTCCTTGTAGCACACATTAAAAAAAAAAAAAAACAAAAAAAAACTCTAAAACTTACAAGAAATTATTTGAAACAATTATGAACAAGAAATTAAAGAAGTAACAAATGTTTATGGTATATAGTAAAGAGGAAGAAATTACCTTGAAATCTTCAATCTCTGGGGAAGGTTCTTCTTCCTCCTCATTGATCTCTGTACAATAAATGGATCCCACACTCTTTCACATTGCAACAGGCTATGCGTTTATTATTAAATCCTCAGCATAAATGGATGGTAATCTTATCATAGTAACCAGAGGGACACATGGAAATAATATCCCTGAATATGTGATCTGAGTTAACATTTTCAGGTCCACTATTAGTGCCAACCCTTCAAAGTGCCATGGTATAATACTATCTCATCGTTAGTTTGAGCTTGCATTCACAGCCAACAACCAAACCCTGGCCCCATTGTGATAGTTTCGAAATTCTACAACAGCGCACATAGCAAAATTAACAAAGCTGGGATTCAACCAATTTGATGGCAGCTCGAGATTTATCGAAGACCTGAACTTCGAGTGCTAAACCCTCTGGAATTTTAGTTCCTGGGAAACAAATACTAGCACTAGGTCTTGGATAAAATTCCTGTACAAAGAACATTATTACAAGAAATTAAATGTCAACTCTAACACTTATATATATAATAGTAAAATTAATTAACAGCATCTAGCTATTTAAGAGAGGACCTTATAAACTTCAAACCGCGGAATTTTCAGTAGAGGATCATTCATAAAGTCTCCAGTGCATTTTGGTCCAGTTTGAACAAACTGATGAAGTTAACTCTCACGTTTCCCAAATAAGATCGGTAAGGAATTGATAAACTTGAGGTTGCTTCCAATGTTGTCAATTGTGTGCATCTATATATATATCGTAGCTGATGGAAGCTCGGTAAGGATTGAAGCCTCTCGCAGTAACCCAATTCAAGATAAGACACTTAGAAAGGTGTATGATGCTAGTTGGAATTCTCTCAAATTTGTTTCTGCCTAAAAGTACCTTTTTAGGAGAGTAACTGACCAAGACTATTAGGTAACTCCCTGATACAACAATCGGTCAGATTTAGTTCCATCAAGATCGCACACATAATTGGATGAGAGTACCTTCAAATCTTCCAAATTTCTCAATCAAATCCATCAAGTTTTGAACAGCCCAGATTAAGATGTTGAAGAGATTCAACTCGTAGATATTGCTGGAGATTCTCTAGCCTTGAACATTCTTCAAGATTCAATTTAACTAGTCTAGATAGATTCTCTATGATGAGGGCAACTTTCTATTGCAGTTCTATCTAAAAAAACTCTGTATGTCCATGACACATCTGGAAATGTCCTGAGATTTGAGCAATAAGAAAGAATAACTTTCCTGAGAGATTGTGAATGAATGCCCTTGGAAGACTAGAAAGACTTTTGCAGCATTTCAGATTCAAGATAACCAGATTGTTGAGATATCGAATAGATGAGCAAATCTCAGACAATTTTGTACAACCTTCTAGAATTAAGCTCTCCAGATTTGGCAAGGTGAGAGGTCTGGGATTGAGTAAATTTTTGGAGTAACTGAGGTTGATACTTTTTAATTTTTAAATCCTGTAAAAAAAAAAAAAAAAAAAAGAGAGTAACAATAAAATTAGCATATATATATATATCATCCTTATAATTTATAACAAAATTGTAATTTAATACAAACTATACCTGTGATCAGTCCAAAGTTGTTCAACATTAGTATAAGGCATGTCAAGTACGACAAGGTTTTGTGTGATTAAACTTCAATGCAAGGGATTCACGGGCATCCATGCCAACAGAAGTATCTCAGCTTAGTGAAAGGAGATTCAAGGCCTTGAAACATCAATTTTACTGATGTTATCCTTTCACAGTAAGAATTATATATCTTCAAGAATCGTAGCCTTTTCATCTCTCGAAAACATGAGGATTAATTCTATCTACTTCCTTCAACATGTCAACCATATGCCTTCAATTGCTCTAGTTCCCTAATAAACAAGAAAACAATGTTAGGCATCAATTCATTAAAGCTTACTTTACATTTTAGTGGTTCAAATACGACATCTTTTTTAAGGAAATTATATAGGATTCTTAGAAGATAATTTCCAAAATTTAATAATGATATACATAGCATGATGTACATGTGTGCGGTGTTGTTGTATAACATGAATGCAAAAGTAATGTCTTTGATCTTACCGTAGATTCCTCCAGTATAGGATAAATATCTTTGGATGCCACAAACGACTCCAGTCTTCAGGATATTGAGAGAATTCTTGTATAATTCCCTTACCCATTCTCGAAGTAAGTCATGCATTATTATCTTCACTTGACACACTTATGAGACATTTGTCGATAAGAGCTCTATTTCACAAGTTGGGCCGGAGTTATCAATATCACAAATTTAATTACAGAGCTTTACTCTCCCTTTCAAAAAAACATGCAATATCTAGAAAGATACCTGTTGCTTAGGATCTAATCTATCATAACTGACTTTTAGCACGTCTTGAATACCTTCCAAGGCATTTTTGTAGTTTATTTGTGACACTTTCCCAAACTTCTTTTTGCCAAATAAAATGGAACCCAACCAGGAGCTAATGAACACCATTTGCATACTTTATTACCCTTTTCGACAGCTCAATAACCTGAAGGTGGACTTTTGTTAAAGGCATGCCAACTAAAGCTGAGAAGCTTCATGATGAAACAATCTCTCAACCTTGTATATATTAGTGTTCATCCACTCCACAATTCTTAAGCACTTGTTTTTTCTTGTTGTTATAATGCGACCTTCCTAAACCGAACCAATTAAGATCCCCAATCAAATCTGTTATTTGTTTTTGGGACTCCACATTATCAAAAACAATGAAATTCTTTTTCCCCAAGTCTTTTCTTTGTTAACTCGCAAGCTAGATGGGCTTTTTCATCCTGTAAAATTGCAGAAAAAAGATCTTTCTGCAAAGTGGAGTTGTAACTCAGCACAAAAATAATCATCAACTCCTTAAAGATTTTGTTGGATACAGCTTTGCAATAGTTGTTTTCCTATACCACCCATTCCCCATATTCCTACTTTGAGAACCCCCTTTGCTATAAGTTCAATTTTCTTGATGCTGGATTGTATCCTACTAAATCTTGTCATAATGACTTGGGTACATAGAATCAATGTCCTCCGAACATTTCGACAATTTCCTGTATACGATCATATTCGGCCTACAAATATAGAAATCAACAATGAAAAAAATTGTAAACAATCAAACTTACATTATTTAATTCTATTAGTTAATATCGATAAGTAAATATGATCAAGACAATTTTAAAATTCCTCCCTTCAAAGTTGTTATTAAAATATTAATTAGAAATTGACTTTTTTTTTTTTATGAATGGGGTGTCAGGGCCCGCTTACGAGCAATCTTCAGGACTATTGAACACTCTACAAAGTTAATGCTTAAGATAAGCCACAAATAATGGATAAGTGTCTAAGTATTTTAAACCTAAGAAATTAATGAAAAGAACAAACCTTCTCGACCAACCACCATTGGTTGGCCTAATGGTAAAAAAGCAGAGGGGTCTAATGGGTTTCTAATTCGAGTCCCCCTAGCACTAATAGGGGTGGCCCCAATTGAGAAGATTTGCCCGTACATTACTTCAAGACATCAAAGATTAGTTGAGATACACGCAAGTAACTCGAACACGCACAATCACAAAAAAATAATAATAATAATAATTTTGACCTCAACAACAACCCTTAGGTTAGAAAAATGACATTTAACTTACTATTAATCAATCGAAGGGACGCATTAAGAGATCTATCAACTATGAATTTCAATAAAATAAAACATATAACTAAATAAAAGTAATTCATAGTGAGGATGTAAGTAACACTTACTCATGGCAACTAACGGCCAGCCAGATAAGTTTGCGCTTCCGTCAAAGCATTCTCCATTTCTTCGTTAAACTCTGTGCAAACGTTTGTAAATTAGCAAATCCACTCCAAAAGTTCCAGTTGATTTCTACATCTGATGATCTACGAGATAAAAGACCTGGTATTACGAGTTACCATTCA